GAAAGAACCAGTTTATGTTCTAATGTTTGTTATGTGCAGATCATGTTAATTAAATATATAAGATCAGACAAACAATATCAACGTGTGCATTTATTGCAATATGATATTCACTATGTGTGACGTGTCATATAACGCTTATTGAAGAAGCAAGTTTGCATCTTATCTGATCACGATCAGTAAGATCCAAGGATGTTGTATATTGTTGTTGCAATGCTCCTGTGGATTCTGCTCTGAGAAGTGCATCTGATCTGAAAGAAAATAAAGCGTATTGAAGATACAAGTATGCATTTGTATCTGATCATGATCAGAAAGATCCAAGGATGCTGTATATTGCGGTTTCAATGCTCTTGTGGATTCTGCTCTGAGATGTGTATCTGATCTAGAAGCTAACAACATATCTGAGATATATTCCTCTAAAGAACCAAGCTCTGAAGACTCTAATGACTTGAAGCTCTGAAGGCTGAAGGCTCTGAAGACTTAAGGGTTCTGAAGATCAAGACTCTGAAGACTCTAAAGATATAATCCTCTGAAGAACTACGTGCTGAAGACTCTGATGACTTAAAGATCTGAAGGCTGAAGGCTCTGAAGACCAAGTGCAGAAAGACTCTGAAGACTAGATTCTAAAGCTGAAGATTATATAGCTTCACCCAACAAAGACATGTTAATCAGATAAGTTGTTGCTATCAACTCTGATAAACAAGGTGTTGAAGTCAAACAACTCTGATGTTATTATGCTATCATACCGAAGTAGTTTCTGAACTACTCATCAGATACATCAGAAGAAGAACCAAAGCTAGAAGCTGATCTGTCCAAGCTGATAAATGAAGATTACATCATTTGTGGATAAGAGCTGTCTCCCACAATGATATATTAACATTACAAGAAAAGGACAAAGAAAGTGATGTCACTGTACTATCCAACACGTGCTTATTCTATCCGTTGGAAGTGACCATTGGAATATTGAAAGGACATCTCTACCCTCACAACGACTCTCTTGGATGCACTATGAAAGAAGAACATTTGAAACATTCAAATGTTAGCAAGCTGGTAAGCCATTGAACCAGTTAGAATGTAAAGCTTTATGCTAAGAAGCCGCAGTGCTCACATAAGAAAGCTTTTAAGCAATATGGAAACTAGTGTTCTAATAATCTCGTAGAGATTTATCCTTAAGTTAGTTTCTATATTAGAAAGCAAAAAGTTGTTGCTCAATACTTGCCATGTACTTTAATTAGGAGTTTTCTGCTTGATAAGAAACACTCATGTAATCTCCGGCAACACAAATTCAATTTAGAATTAGTGATTCCTCAAGTGATCTTGTGAAGATCAGAATACTTGAGATGACAAGTGGCTGTAGTCATTTGTGGAATCTAATAGGAGATCTTAATTGATCGGATTCTATTAGGTGTCAATGAACGTTATATCCTTAAGGATCCCTGAACGTGTCATTGTCTTTTTGTTAGTCACTTGCAGTTTGCTTGTGCACCTGTAATCAGTTTGGTTATAGTGGATTAAGACCTCAATTGAGAGAGACAAAATCACCTTGGAAGGGTGGACTGGATTAGCTTGAGAGTTGCTCAAGTGAACCAGGATATATCGTGTGTTCTTTACTTGTATTATGCTTTATCATTTATGCTTCCGCGATGCATCTTATAGAATCACGTAAAGCAACAAGTGAAGAGGCGAAAAAGTCTATTAAGGTGAAAACCCAATTCAAACCCCCCATTTCTTGTGTTTTTCTCACACCTCCAGTGTTCTCTCCTGTTGTGAAGCACATATCCATTCGAATGTTGCTTACCACAGTGACATAATTCGACCTTGAACTGGAATAGGGGAAGAAAGGGGAAGAAAGATTATGCGTGCAAGTTGAAGAGGCAACCTGAAGGGTATGTCGAAAAGGGGAAGAAAGATTATGCGTGCAAGTTGAAGAGATCCTTATATGGACCGAAATAATCTCCTCGATAGTGGAATAGGAGATTCAACAAGTTCATGGCACATATAAGTTTCATTAGAAGTCAGTTCGACCATTGTGTTTACTTCTGATTTCGACCTGGTAATTCATTTGTTATTTTATTACTTTATGTGGATGATATTCCAATAGCAAACAACAATGTCAAAGATGTAATGAGGGTGAAGGCTGAACTCAATAATGAGTTTGATATGAAGGATCTGGGAGTTGCGTCCAGGTTTCTTGGGATTAACATCCAAAGAGATAGAAAGCAGTCGAAATTATGCTTATCTCAAGAGGCATACCTACAAAAGATTCTCGAAAAGTTTGATATGTCGAATTCAAAGTCGGCTATGACTCCGGCAAACCCTCAATTCAAGCTAAGTATAGATCATTGTCCCAATGCATATGTCGAAAGAACTTATATGAATAGCATTCCATATGCTAACATAGTGGATTCTTTGATGTATGCTATGGTCTGTACTAGACCCGACATAGCATATGTAGTAAGTCTTGCAAGTAAGTACATGGCGAATCCTGGAAAGACTCACTGACAAGTATTGAAGTGGATTCCAGGGTACATAAATGAGTCTTTGAACAAATTCCTAATTTATGGTGGAGCCTTGGGTGAAGATAATAAAGCAGTAATCGAAGGACATGCCGACTTAGATTATGCAGGTTGTATGGATTCCAAAAAATCTATTTTTGGATATGTATTCACTATGTTTGGCATAACAATCAGTTGGAAAGCAACACTTCAGAAGGTTGTTACCCGTGGCTTGAAGGTTTTGAAAAGGAGCTGAAACTTCAAGGTCGAGTTGTCACTATTAAATGTGATAGTCAAAGTGCAATACACTTGTAGAAGAATTCAGCCTATCATGAGCGAACCAAACACATTGATGTGAGGTTGCATTTCGTCAGAGGGTAATTAAGCATGGAGAAGTCCAAGTGCTAAAGGTTTTGACAAATCATAATGCTGCTGATATGATCACCAAGACGTTGCCCAATTGTAAATTTTTCCAATGTATGTAGTTGATAAAGCTGCATGAAGAAAGTTAGTTTGTTTTTTGATGATAAAGTTAGATCTAAGGTGGAGATTTGTGAGATATTGGATCAAACTCTAGTTAGCATGCCATCAAAGTTTGCTCACATGCTATTGTCAAAGACTTACATGTTGTAGTCGAATTATGTTTTAGTATGTAGTTGTCGAATTGGGCCTTGTGTTATGGATCTAATTGTTTAAGTTAGCTTGTAATAGATAATTGTTAAAAAATCTATTAGTTTAGTATGTTAGATTTTATTATAAATAACATACTAGTATCTCATCTTATGTGTGGTGTGACAAAATCTAATTAAAGTGAGAGAGTTATTTGTTATTCTTGAGTACTTGTAATCTATTTTATAGAGAAAGTAAAGAATATCAGTTATAACCAATCTTTGTTGTTTTCCTTAACCCCAACTCTTGTGTGTTTCTTGATCATACAGAAATCAAATATATTTTATTTTAAAGCATCCTATTCACAACAGTATTATTATTTTTTTGAATGTATTTTCGGACAAATGTGATGTTATATATGGATTTTCTTAACTTTTTTTATTAATGTATAGCTTTTTTTGCTTTTCTTTAACTTTAATATAACTTCATTTTACTTTGATTTCACGTTAATATAATTAATATAAGATCACCTCACAAAAATTGAATGTTTGGACATTGGTGTTGTTTTGATATAATTCAGGGAGGATTCCAAAGATGCATCTTCAAAATACACCAAATACCATACATAGATGCATCTCTAAACCATATTTTTGTTTAAAATGAGATGAATCTCAAAATAATGCATTTTGATTTAGATTTAGATGCGTATGGAGATGCATCTTCGAATGCATAAATAACTATTTTGAGTTTTCAAGGATGTGGTATGCTTATATAAGAGTCTAATGAGTCATTCTCATCACTATCAACTATCTATCCGTTAAAATAAACTACCACCAAACTTCTTAATATATCCTTTACTTTAATGAGTCTAATGAGTCTAATGAGTCATTCTCCCCACATTTTTTTCACACTCTCTCTCTCTCATATTTTATTTTCTTAAGTGTAAATAATAAAATTTGAGCTTCTTTTTTATTTGATGAAGAAGAACACTGAAAAATGCTAAAATTTTAAAATATAAAACTTGTCTAAAATAAAAACATAATTATTTTATATAAAAAATCTTTATATTTTATATGATTATTATTTATTTTATAATTAAATAACTCATTTGAAATTGACATTTGTATTTAAATATATTTTATACTATATATCAAATTGAAAAACACTCCGTAGCAATGCACACAACTAACTTTTCATTTCACAAGTCACTATCAGACCAATATCTATTTTATTTAAATCAACAACTGTTTTTATTTGAAAGACAATTTTTTTTTCAAATGTGATTTTTTTTGTGTTTGTCCATCTCATGAATCTCTTTTTTATATGATCATTTAATATAATTAAATTTATATGATTATTGTTCAGTTTACAATTAAGTAACAAATTATAAATTAATACTAAAAAATATTTTATATTGTATCAAATTAAATATCATTCAATAATGGTGCACACTAGTAACTTTTCATTTCACATATCATTATCAAAATAATATTTATTTTATTTTAATCAACAATTATCTTTAATTGAGAGATGAATTCTTTATTTTCAAATGTGAAAATTTTTTTCTTCAAATTCTCTTTTTTATTTTAAAAATTTATATTTAAATTTAAATATATTTTATATTGTATTAAATAAATTTATTCGTGCGGACGCATATTTTCTTAGTATTTTAAAAGAAATGTTCTTAATGTATCCGAGGAGAATTTCTTTGGGCCGTTGAAGCTTCAACCTATTGGGCCTACACAGAGGTCCGCTTAAAAGAAAACTGGGATATACGACATAGCTTAAAAAAAAGCCAATATAAAACGTATCTAATAAATTTCTAGGGTTTGTCTTCGTCTCTACTGATAACAACTCGCGCCTCTATCAGAGTCTTGTTCCTCCTACCCAACCGAAACCATGGTGTGTAACTAACTCTTCATCCATGTTCTAAATTTCATCTTTTCCTGATTTTTGTAATGCTCATATCTTTAATTTGTTTTGTGTGTTATTTTCGCAGGCTCCAAAGAAGGAAAAGGCCCCTCCACCGTCCTCCAAGCCAGCCAAATCTGGTGGTGGCAAGCAGAAGAAGAAGGTTCAGTGTTTTTTCCCTTTTAAGATTTAATTTTATTTTTTTTATCTTTGTTTCATCACAAGTAATAAACAGTGAATTTCAGAGCTTTGATTCATTGTTTGTTTGTTGCCTATGAGTTTCAAGAAATAATTGTTTTTTTAGATCCTGTATTTTTTTTTTTGTATATTGCTTATCCAAACAAGGGACCTCTTTTGGAATGGTTAATTGTGATTTGTATAATGTAATACTTGAGTGTGATATTAAGAGCTTCGTGTATGTGTTTTGCAGAAGTGGAGCAAAGGAAAACAAAAGGAGAAGGTCAACAACATGGTGCTCTTTGATCAGGGTACCTATGACAAGCTACTAACTGAAGCACCCAAATATAAGCTCATCACACCTTCAATTCTCTCTGATCGTTTGAGGGTATTTCTTTTCCTACTGTTATTAATAATATGCTTAGATTGTATTTTGTTGTTTTGTTGATGTTTGATGCATGTTATGTCATACGGTGATAATCTCGCAGCATCATTTTGACTTCTTTTAGTTTTGTATGCTTTAAGTTATAATTTCAATTTACAGTGTCTATTCATGGAATGTTTGCTCCATGTAAACTTTGGTAATCTTAGGTGCATAGGAAAGAAATCAGAGATTAGGTCTTTGACAGCATATATAGTTTCTTTTTTTCATTTGAATTGGTGAATTTCATTATTAGTTTTCTTTCTTGCCCTTGAATGCGATCTCTGCATTTTGGAAAATATAATATTACTTGACTTGAAGAATGATGTTACCGAACAGATTGGTATTCTTTTAGTAGTACATATTACATATTGTGTGTAATTGTTTGAGACTTAAGAGATTGTCATTTACCACAGATTGGTACATAATTCTGCATTTCCTCAAATGCTATTCTTATGCCTTGTTTACTTCATGATTTAATTATCTTTTTTCTTAAAATAAGTGTTAGTTTTACCTTCCTACAAGACTATACTAGACTTTTTAAGTGAAGAGTTGTGTGCATTCCTTAGAATTGTTTTCATTATTTATAAAAATGAATTATCCCTAGCTAATATTTCATCTTCTCTCCTTTACAATGGTGCAATACAAAAGTCTCGCATCTTATTAGAAAGTTAAATACAGCTTAGATTTCTTCTTTTCAATGCTGTGTAACCACTGCTCTTACCAGAGATGTTTCTTTATGCACTTGAAAAAGTTTGTTATTCTCCACTAGATACATTAATGTTTGTTGTCTGTGTATCTTGTGGCCTTCTATTATCTGTAGTTGTGTATGAGCTTTGCATGAAGTCTTAATTGCAACAATGTTGATGTGTTTTCTTTTATTGTTTAAACCTTATGTGATTCACACCCTTTTTGCACATGCGCTCATATCCAATGCAAGTACCATTGCATTAGACTATATGATTAATATAACGTCCCAGAAATTATTTTATCAATCACTATAATATTGTTATCTTTCATGCACTATGCAGGTTAATGGTTCACTTGCAAGGAGGGCTATAAGGGACTTGATGGCTAAAGGATTAATCAGGTTGGTATCTGCCCATGCAAGTCAGCAGATTTACACAAGGGCTACTAACACCTAAGTGTAGCAGAGAGGGAAAGTATCAGTAGAGGTTTTTTATGTAATGTTCTTTCCAATTTTGAGATGCACATTATACAAGTCTGTATTAGTTCTGCCGAATCTATAGGTTAAGATTTTTTTGTATCGTTGTGTTTCTGGCATCTATCTTATTGTTTTTTTGGTATTCTGGCTTGTCTTGTCGGATTAATTTTATTTAATTGAATCTCTATTGTGAAAAATGATTTGATTAGGTTTATAATTAGTGTTTACTGCTGATGCCATTATTCAAACTCAATTTATTACTGAGTAACTTCAAAAACAAAGTTTGAAAGTTTGATAAACTCATTTATTGGTTATTGGATGTTGAAAATAATGTCCGCAAGTTTCCATCTGGTATTGAGTCTCATATTTACAGTTGTTTTTCTAATTCCACCTTGAGGTATTTTGAATGTAAATCTGTGTGTACAATTAAAAAGAAAAGGCATAGTTAATTTTGAAGTCCTCTAAGTTAATTAGAGTTGAGATTTAGTCTTTAAAAAAAATCGTTTCAGTTTGGTTTGATAATATTATTTTGTTAGCAAATTAGATTTATGCCGTTAGTTTTAATGTTAAAATGTTAGCAACCGTCAATGTGGCATGTTAAGTGTGTGATGACTTATCAAAAGGATGAATAAACAATTATTTAAAGAGTTAAATGTTGTCAAGAGCTTCATTATTTTCAAAAAAAAAAAAAATTGTGTATATCCATTCATTTTTTGTGTTGGCGTGTTTGGTTGTTTTCTCAATCTCTTCGATCTTGTTGTCTGGTACTGCAGAAAGAGTTTCTTTGATTTTTATTCTTTTAATCTTGTTTCATTTTTTAGGGTTTGCATATTTTCTAATGTCTAAGTTGTTAAGCAGTTCTTTCATTGGAACAATTGAGTCGGTTATTCGTAGAAACAAGAGGAGGGGGTGTTATTGCCTAGATGAATGTGTGTTTCGTACCGCGGGTGACATGAATAATGTTAATTTTGAAAAAAAGTTGAGGTTGTAGAAATTTTAGAAATCATGTGAACAAGGGTTGTAATTTCTTCAAATGATTTGACGATGACATTATTGATGAAAGAGATTTGAAGATCCAGAAGCAAAAGAAGAAAATTTGCAAATAAAAAAATGAGATCATTAACAATAGAGAATGGTTGAAAGTGTCCGTAATGATTGAAATATTGAGCTTATTGTTTAATATTGTATTTGTAACCATGTTTTTTTAGGTTGGTTATTTGCCTGGGTAATGAGATGTATGTGTCAACATTTATTAGTGAAATGCATTTGTGAACAATGAGGTTGAAATGTATCGGTCAACATTGTTATGTATTTGCCAACATTTATCAATGAAACTTGTTTGAAGAAATGTTACTTTTTGATTCACATAATATACCGGAACAAATGCACTTTTAATTTGGTGTAATATAAGCATAACATTCCTTAACATTACTGATGTTTTTCATAATATACTGAACAAATGTACACCATAATTTGGTCATAACAGTAGTAACAAAACCATAACAGGAGCTATATTGAAGGTCATACCAAAAGTAACATTATAAGTCATAATAATAGTTACATTACAAGTCACCACAAAAGTGACATTGCAAGCCATAAGTCATAAACTAGAAATTAGACATTGTATGCCATATGTTACAACAGAAGAAATCCAACAAAAGTGGCATTATAAGCCTTAGTCATAAACTATAAAATAGGCCAAAAGTGGCATAACTAGTACACATCATAGATCAACATAAAGATTAGGGTTGACTCACAACTAGTTTTAGACCCTTTTGAAATTTTCTTTTCTTTTTGGTTGCTGGTTGTGGTTGGCTTGAGCTTGCAGCTGGTTGTAGTTAGCCTGAGGTAACAACTGGTTGTGGTTGGCTTGAGCTAGCAGCTGGTTGTGGTTGTGGTTGCAAGTGGCCTTGTTGTGACCATCCTTATGGCACCCACTGAATTTGATACCAAATTTTGCTCTTTTGAGTTATGTCTTATTTCTCACTTGTTCCCTTGTCTCCTTGTTCCTTTTCCTCTTGGGTTTACTAGACATCCTTTTTATGGGGGGGTGGTTGCAGGTCAACAACATCTGTTTTGGTCCAAAGAGATTCTCCATTAACGGGATAAATCACTGATGCATAGCAAGCCTCATTACACTCCTTTTTGTAATAATCAGGCACAAAATCATCTACTTGTAAATGATGATCCTTCATACATGAAATTACATGACATAATGGAAGCCATGTCAACATCCACCTTCTACATGAACACTCATGCTTGATAGATTAACAACAAACTTTTCTTCTATGAGTGATATATGCCTAACCCTGTAGTCTATTTCACCTGCACACCTATCACAAATACATAAATTAATTATGAAACAATGCTATATTAACTGTTTGTTGTTTGTCTCAAACAAGTATGAAACATTACCTAACAATCCAATTGTTTGTTCTTTGTGATTCCTTTTCCAACTTCTTTGTGATATTTGGCAGAATGGTATCAACATATTTGGAAATCTTTTGTCTGTTGGACTCCCAAGTTTGCATCAAGTACACTCTTATCTCTTCAAACATAGTCACAATAGGCTTGACTGTCGCAACTACAAATACTGAGTTGAAGGCTTCTGACATGTTGTTTGCCAAAGTATCACACTTTGGACCATTTCTAAACCTTGATTTACTCTAGAAGCTTGGTGGGATCTTCCAAAGGTGCTTGAATGCCTCTTTATTAACATTCTTCATTTCACGCATAGTTTTTTCCCGAGCATTTAAGTGATTTGCACTAGCAGCCTTACACATCAATTCCTTTAATTTAACACTAGGAAGTTTCTTCTGAAATTGCTATATAAGTTCCTAATAAGAATAACACATGTCAAACATCCACATCAGTAAGTAGTACAAGAATAAAACATATCAAATACGACCTCTTAGGATTCTCACTATTTTCCTCTCCACCTTGACTTGGTTGACTTGTAATTTTCATACTTGAACCAATGTTTGCCCTTAACAGCTCATGACCATAATAATGAATTCTTGTATATTGCACCCTAAATGAACCATAAAAAATGCCAATAGCAAGTGACTTAACTTTGTATGCAAGTGTCTTATTGATCCCTACATTCCACTTTTGATTTGTTTTCTCCATTACATAAGTCAACTTCAAATTAGGATTCTCTCTTACATTACTTTGAATCTTTTTGCCTAACCATTTGGAGTTTAGGAACCTGACCTTATAATCCCTACTGCATGTATGCTTGTCCATAATTTTTCTCAACTGCCAAGTATTATCTTCTTGTAATTTTGCACAGTATGACTCCCATGGACAACCTTTCTTACATATGACTCTCATCCTCTTGTTATCATTTTTCTTAAATTTGAGGTTTCTACTTGAATAAATAGCATAAATTCTAACTGCCTCTTTAAAGTCTTCCCTAGTAGCAAAATAAGTCGTTAATTCCCACTTGTAATCATTCATTATTTTTGGAAGTTTGAAAGTTGGAAAATCATCTTTTAAAATCTCATCATCTTCAATATCATAATCATGTTGTAACTCATCACTGTCATACTCCTCACTGTCACACTCCTCACTGTCATTTAAACCTCTAAAGCTTTCCTTTGTAACCTCACATTCATTCACATTATCTTGGCTACAAATAAGTCCCTCAGCTACTGAATCAATTTGAACACTTACCAGATAAGGTGTGCCATCCAATATATCATCTTTTTGGTCACATATAATATGATAAATGGTCCCATATAAAGTAATATCCACTATTGCATCTTCAGACATAGTGTCCCCCCTCCCCCCCCCCCCCTTAAAGTTAACATTCTAACATGACTCTTTTTTGTTACTGCCCTCAGTGGTCCCATCCATATTAACATCCTCAAATGAACCTTCTTAATCAATTGCAGCTGAATCTTCTACACCAGTGGGTCCTCTTTCATCAAATTTTTCAAATAGATTATTCAATTCTTCAATGGTCCCCAAGTCATCAAAAGTTCCTTTAACACCATTATTCAATTCATCCAACATGTCATCTTCTAAATTGTCGTCTTCTACACCATTGAAACCTACATTAATTTTAAGAGGCAATATTTGCTCTTCCCCATACACTAGATGCATTACATATAGATGAACATTCTCATTGATTAGTGCAATAATTTTCGTTCTATTTGTTCATGTGTCATCTTGCAACATCACTAGCTCATTATCATCCATTGCATCATAATACCACAAGCTTTCAACTTTTGGGTACCATAAATATTTTAACCAACCCAGGATCTCAAAGTAAATTCAAAAATTCGGGTCAACTTGGCAAATCTCCTCTAACCCTTTGTAACCTATTCTATTAAACTCACCAAACACACCCCTATGATGGATAACACACTCAAACCTATCACTCATGACCTAATCACACCAAATAACTCAGAAATGAGGCTTCGAAGTAGACAATGGTTGAGTTCATGCATGTACCTTGACTTTGAAATGAGACAATGGTTGAGTTGCTAAGTATTGTCTGCCACTATGTTTCAACAATCGTCGTCTTCAACCACCAAGCTCTTTTTCTTCGCAACTACTAGGTTTTTTTTTGGCAATGAGAGTGAAACTATTAAACTTAGAGAGAAGTTTAAGAGTTTTAGGATTTTATGTTTCTAAAAATGAAAATGAAAATTACCATGCCACATCACTATAATAATAATTGAAAAAGAAGTTTTTAATTTCATTTCATATCACTATCTCATTCGGCCACATAGATGTCTGATAACATTTTTCTAATAAAACTAAAAGAAAAGATTTATTAGGTTAACAGAGTCGTCTTAAAAACTATATTGTAACGTTTTTAAATTACGGAATTAAATAAAAACAATAAATTAATTTAAGGGATTACAAAATGAATTAAACTAAAAAAAAAATTGTTAAGCAAGCAATAATAAACTAAAACAATAATGTTATATTCCAAATGAAAAGTATTGCCAATATTTTTTAAAAATATAATGTGCATACAAAATTTTCTTGATAAAGATGTTCGTCCAAATTGATGTGGCTCGTAAGCAACATAATAAATAAAGATATAAACTCTTTTGCTATGTGAACACAATTTTTTTTTGATAAAGATGTTCGTCCAAATTGATGTGGCTCGTAAGCAACATAATAGATAAAAATATAAACTCTTTTGCTATGTGAACTTGAGCTTTAGGGAATATTTAAATCATATAGATAATTTTGAAGTTGAACAGGTGAGTTTGTTTTAGCTTTAAAAAATAATTTTTTTTTTTGTATTTTAAAAAATGAATTTTACAAAAATATTCTTTAAAATATTATAAATTTTTTTAAATTTATTTTTTATAAATTAAATGACTAATTTTAACTTACTATAACATAATCATAAATTATTGAAGAACAAAAAGTAATCAAAATCGATTTTTTCAAAAAGTTGTATCTTATAAGTGATTTTTATAAAAAATCATTTAAAATAGTTTTAAAATTAAATAATTTTTTAAAATTTTAATATTCAAATTTTTTTTAATAAAATAATAAAATAATTAAAATAACATTTTAAAAATAACTATTCAAACGAAATTTTCATTTAAAACCAGAATTTCTTTTCTCAACTTTAATAATCTCTAAATTTATTTAAACTCTATCAACATTGAGTAAATACAAGTGTCACATATTAGTACATGTATGTAACTAACTGAATCTTTGCTAATGATTATATATAAAATCTTTGCTTAATAATCATAGTTGCTTTCTTTTATCAGTATAATCTATATGTTTTGATTTGATCTCATTAGTCTTTGTTTTTTAGGCATTTATTTCTATTGACCCCACTCAATATTTGCATCAATATTAAATTTGATTATTGAGTTGGTTGTTGAGTAATGGTCAATTACATCTCATGGGCTCAATTTCATTTATATGCAAAGAACAACGTGATACTTGTTTTCTCGCAATTATAATGACAATCAAATTAATAAGCACTTTCCTCATGATATCTCTCTGACAGCACATCAAAATCTATGGTACACTATCACCGTCTGAACTCAAACTTATGCTAGACAAAATTATTTAACAATAATTTTCAGTACCTTCCTCATACTTTCACTCGACAAAAGACAATAACCCATCACTTTCATTGTACCTCATCACTAAGTTTTGACTATTTTCTTATCTCGAACCACTCCCCCTCACCTATTGAGGAGATGGTATTTCATGCACAAATATAAAGTAGATAAAACTGCTTTTAATTGTTAAAGGCTGAAATACACTATTTTGAATTCAAAATATTTGAATTATTTGTGATTTTTATTTAAATATAATTTATTTTAATTCCATCAAAATATACTTAAATACACAATATTTTTGACAAAGAAGGGATACATGCTCTTTAGGATAATAGAAAAAATAATTGCTTCATTTTCCACACTAAGAGAAAAATATTGTTACTGCTTTCTTAGATTTTAAGATTGAGATGAGATGAGATTGAGATGAGGCAATATTTCTATAAATACTTCTGATATAAGATTGAGATGAGACATTTTCAATTTACTAAAAAATCACTCAAATATATAGTTTCTCACAATCTCTCCACGAGTTTATCTACCATATAAAAAAGTAGTATGATTTGGAAATGACCATACTACCTTTTTCTTTATTGGTCTAAAGCTACTATTTGAAGGGTACATCTGTAAAATGTCTGAAGCTAGTATTTTAGGTTCCGCTACAACACCATTTGCATTGAATTCAAATTTTTTTTCAACCAAAACATCACTTCATACTTACTGTAAATTCAAAAAGCAAACATCATGTCACAATCTTTCTTCTTCATGTAGCTTGTCTGCAGACCAAATCCTCTTATCTCTTTTTTTTTTTTTTAGGTTTTGCAACTTTTGTTATTCTCTCATCTTTTCACCGCATTTTACGTTATGTTAATCCTTATCTCATTGTTTCATATGTACAACCAAATCCAGATTACATGAAAAGACCATTTGAGAATGCCAAGGACATTAACGACACAAAGGAGATTTGGAAGATCGTTGTGAAAGTTCATCATAGATGGAATGTCGTCTCTAACACGAAAGAGAACTTTGAGATGGTTGTCGTCGAAAAATACATAAGTATATGATATTTCATATTCAACGCTGTTTGAGGTTGTTTCATAACTTGCAAATGAACAATGTTTTGTTTTTCTTCCACAAACTCTTTTTGAATTTTCGTTATTTTCAGTGGAATACATTTGTTCTTGATAATATTCTCACAGTTTTACTTATTTTAGGTTTTGATGATGATAACATAGCTGCGTCTTTTACTTGGCTATAACAAGGAACTGATATCCATGTCGTCGTTCTGACATTGTATAGTGAGACTTTCAATTCACAGTTAGTTATTAACAACACTTGAACAATAGCCACCTTTCAGGTTCAAGTTAATGAGTTGGTATTCATACCTTCAAATCATAAGTTTTTCATAAAGTTCACTAGAGGAACCAGAGTTGGTGATACAAACAAGCATATAATCTTGGAAAAAGTTTTTAACTTCACTCAATTTTCTGATATTATAACTAGCAAATGGAAAACAAATTCATTGATAGGTATGACTTTTGTTTGATCAATAAACCTTTTTGTTTTTT